CAGAGCTGTACCTTCAAGTTAAGTACTCACACATACCCTAGTCCTTTGAAATTAGAGCCCAAAACGATCAATTAAAACTGTTTTGCTCAAGTCACGATCGATCGTGAATTCCTATGATCGTGTTTGCGAAAAGTGTAAAACCCGCAAACCTGCCCCGATTAATAATAAATTTATAAATAAATATTATTTTATGTTGTTATAATTTTTATTTTTTCTTCCTTTCCTTGATGATTTTAAATTTTAAAAATAATTATATTTTTGTGATAAATATTTGATTATACTAAACAAATTTTAAAAAATTATCTTAAATATGTTTAAGTTTAATTATATGTATATTTGGGTGCCCGAACCCGCCACGACTCCGATGTGTGAAGCTCGAAATTGGGTTTGGGAAAAAAATATTGGTAAGACGAGTTTGGGAAAGGGCCTGTGCCTGGGCTTTGTAACCTGCCCCGTTGGCATCCTTAATTAGAATTATAGCTCTTTGAATACAAGCCCGTGTAATAAATTAGTTGCATATAAAAATTTATCACAATTACTAATTGAAGCCAATGAATTAACTAATCTAGGCGTATTATGGTTTGTGCTAATATTTAGTTCAAGTAATATTAAATTATGAAATGGGAATAGCTAGAGAAAAAAAAAAAGCTCGTATAAATATATATATATATATATATATATATATATATATATATATATTAAAATTTTAAAAATTGATTGATTTTATTAGGATTATATTATAGATATACTATTTCATTTAATTAGATTAAATTAGTTTCTTGAAATTTTAATTATTTTAAATTAAATATGTACAACAAATTTTATTTTGGTAAGAAACAGTGAAAATATTTTTTTCCCGAGCAAATTAAATATCTGCAAAAAAATTCATTTTGCTAAGAAAAAGTGAAATAATTTTGGTAAAAAACAGTGCCAAAAATTTCATTTTGGTAAGAAATAGTGAAAATATCATTTGCCAGGCAAAATAAATTTTTAGCGCTAAATAACATTTTAGCTTCCCCCCTATATATATATATATATATATATCTGCGCTTCTTTCTCACCCTTTTTGCATATCTTCTCCCTTCAAACAAAGACCCAATGCAAAGTATGTGTTCTTGAAGCAATTTAAAGCACAATCAACTTCCATCAAACAATTTGAATCTGCATTACAAGGTTGGTATCCATAATAGTTCTGTAAATTTATGAATTTCTTACTAATTAGGGTTTTTTTTTTTTTTTTTTGGTGAGGAATCTTCTGTCAATATATTTGTGAATTTATTATTTTATGATTATCAAGTCAGAGAGGGATTTACTAACAAATCAGGCAATTTCACCCCTTTAACATTCAAAAACCCCTCTTTACTTCAGCAACTAGCCACCACTGGATTCTTCCTCACAGATCCACTCGACCTATCAAGGTTTCCATATTCTTCTTGTGATTTGGGAATGAACACTTCCAAACACTCACATGGTGTTGTTTTAGAAATTTTGCAAATACTCTCATGATTAACTTAATTACAATTTAAATCTTGCTTCTGACTAGTTGAATACCAGTAAATAGTATTTTAGTAATTTTATTTAAGAGATGTTAATTACTAATTTGCTAGCTTTGTGACATATTTTTCTTTCCATTGGCATATGAAGCACTAACTTCTTCTAGGTAAAAATGGCTGGACCTGGACGTCGGAGACGAGTCTCTCAGACAGAGCAAAATGCCATGCCCACACTGACAGCCACATCATTGCCTACATTTTCTCAGTCAGAGCCTACCACCGTGTCCACACCGTCACCCACATCATTGCCTATACATACTCCTGTAACCACTGACACATACACACCATTGAACCTTATGGACACAGTTACGGCCACACCCTCTCCCTCCAACTCATCAACTGTGGGTAAGATTTACTTAATTCCTTTTTCAATTATTTATTTTATTCCTTGAATTTAATTGTTTTTACCTTTTCAATATGGATTTTTTATTTTAACGATTCTGCTTTTATATATGTTCCGAGTGATTGAAACTAAAATTTTTTGAAGTGAAGAATCATGTTGCTAGATCAAACAATTGATAACTTATGGATAATGGATTGCAATTATGTTGCGAAATGAATGGAAAGGAAAAGGTAAAAAATTAGTACAATCAGCTAATAATTCATCCATAATGTAAACATGTGTGAGTTAATAACTATATGATTTACCTCTGTAGAATGCAAAGTTAAATTATATATAAGGTTGTATATTGTTGTTTGTTTTTGTTTTCTTGGCTAATAGTTAACGAGAAAAGTCTAAAATCAATTTTGAAGTCGCACCATCAAGTAGTTGTTAACATTTAAATATTCTAACTCAATTACATCTTTTCTTTTTTATTATTGCAGCTTCTAACTTGTTCAAAAAAGGACGTGAGCGGTCACGTGGGCTTGAATATAAAAAACATAAAAAAAATGGTGGCACAAAACCTTGAATCACTTTTCCCCCAGGGAAAATGAGGCCTATTGGGTCTTCATCCAAGATGTTTAGGTCACATGTGGGCGCATTATGTCGTGAGCATGCTAAATTTACATGTGGAATGTGGTCTCATATGGATCCAGCAGATAAGGCCAATATATACTACCATATTACAGTTATTGAACATAAAACTTTCTTCTTCTTCCTTCAGTATTATCAAGTTCCTTCCTCTCCCCTCTCAAAATGTTTAGTTTACATTGATATAGATATACATGTCCTGATGTACACGTGAAAACTGAAAAATAGTGCCTTTCTTGAAAATAAGATTAGCAACATGTTGCAAATAAGATTACTTTTGTTTTTTTCTCTCTATTTTATGCATTCTACGTACATTATATATTCTATTTAGTGGTATATTTTATTTTTGTCATATATGTTATTTTATTGTCACTTATATATATATTATATATTTTTTTTGTTAAATAAAATAGCGAAACTCAGAAACTGAGGAGGAGCCTGACATGGTGACCTTTTATGAGCATGCACACCGCAAAGAGAATGGGAAAGGGGCATGGGTCACACCACGATGTGAAGCTCTCCATGTATGTTTTTTAATAACTACTAAATTTTGGTTGCACACTACTTGTTTCTATATTGGTTTTTTTTAACATTCTGTACTTGCAGGCAGAAATGACTCAGCGGCTTCAAACTCAGCCTTCTGATGAGACGTCCCCATCTGCTATACAATCAATCCGGAATCAAGTTCTCTACGATGTAGTCGGCCGTAGGTCAGGATATGTTAATGGGCTTGGTCATGGTGAGATGCCCACCACGTTGTCACGTTTTAACCAGGAAGATTTTATCGAGGCTAGACAGGGGTCTGCATAACTAGAGGAGCAATTACGAGAGCAAGCTCAGATTCACCAAGCAAAGAGGGAGGAACAACGAAGTTTGATAGAGGAGCAACGTAGTTCAATTGCTTATTTGCAGTCTCGGCTCACAAATCTATCCTCCGTGGTGCAGCAGCTTTTGGCCGCACAAACCTCTTCTATGGGTGATACTCGTCCCACTTAGTAAGTTACATTTAACTTTAGTTGAACGACCCTTTTCTTCATAAATCAATTAAAGCTTAAAAGGGTACAAGGCCATTAGTAAATGCAATCATGACCATTAGCATAATGGTGCAACTATTATACAATGAGTACTCTTTAAAAATTTTATTTCAATATTCAAATTCTAACCTCATTTTTATTTTTTCTTCTTCTTCTTTTATTTATTTCATCTATTTTTTTTAAATTTTTTTTGTAGGTTTCCTGTTGAATGCAATTTGGCTTCCTTCAAAGGGATTCGGCTCTTGGATTATCTTTTGTTATTTTGATGTATATGGCATTAGCTTAGCATTTTGGATTATGCGATTAGTATTGTGTGATTTTGGTTTCGGATCTTGGATTTCTTTTGTGATGTTGATATGTGTTTGGAATTAGCATTTTGGATCATGGGATTAGCATTTGGATGATGCGATTAGCATTGTGTGATTTTGGCTTAGGAGTTTGGATTTCTTTTGTGATCTTGATATGTGTATGGGATTAGCTTAGCATTTTGGATTATCCTATTGATCATGAATCCAATGAAAATTATTTTTGGGCTGTAGTTTTTTATGGTAGTAGTGTCGATTCATTTAATTTGTTATATCTTCATGTTAATTACTATTTCCAGATTGCAATTTTTCCAATTCTTGTGGGAGTTCAGAATTTAATTGAAAGGAAGGTTAAAGTTGATAAAAAGGTCATGCACATGCTGAGTTTGAATAAAGTAATGTAGGGGCCAAGGCAGAAGGTGGGTAACTGAGGAACTTTAGAAGGATTGACACTACTAGCAAACCTCAATTTTGAATAACAGTTTTTTATGATTCTCTTCTAAAAGAAACTTAATTTTGAATAACCTCAATTTTTAATGTGGAATTCAAAATTAGTAGTTGCAAAAATGCTAGTCTTTTTTACGACCCTTGGTTAATTTAATGGCAAGACTATTATTAGTGTGTATGGGAATAGAAGGCTATCGGGCATTCTTTTTTTATCAAAGAGGATTTCTGTAGTGTCAGATAAAGAAAAAAAAAATTATTTCTTTCTTTATTTTTATAGTACCTAACTGTGAAAATATGTAGAATTTATATATGAAATGGTATAAAAAAAAAAGTATCAAGCTAAATGATTCAAATTGTCAAGTGTACTCATTCCAAATTTTATTCCAATCAAATGATTAATATATCTCGCACTAACAAGTGTATTTTTTTTTATACACTATTAGCCCTTGAAATAAACTAGTTGCGATTTTTGTAATGTTAGATTTTAAATTTAAAAAATAATTGATTGTTCTATGATTATAAATATATATATATATATATATTAATTAGTTTAATTAAATTATACTAGTTACATGAAATGATTATTTTTTTGAATTAAATATATATATATAAATATTTTATTTCATAATTTTTTAACCATAAAAATAAATTGAGTCTAAAAAAGGAAAATTTTCAGGGCCGCCAAAATATACGCGCTCCAGCTATCTCAAAAAAGCTCTCTGTTTCCCTCTCTCACTATCTCCTCCATCTTATAGAGCTCTAACATAGGCGATTAAATCCTCTCTCTCTCATCCCACTCCTACCTATTCTCTTTTGATAGAATTCTCTCCGTCAACATCACCAGCGAAATATGTCTTGAATAATACCCATTCGACTTCTCAGGGGGATTCAAAGGTGATTTTGGGATTTTTTTGAAGAAATTTCAATCAAAATCAACTTCCAACAAGTGATTTGAATCTTCATTACAAGGTTTATATCCAGAATCTTTCTTTACAATTATGAATATTTGCTTAATTAGGGTTTCATATTTGTATGTTTGGGAGAGGATTTTGTTATTAGGTTTCCTAATATAACCTCCTCCAATGACATATATATATAGAAAGATTGATAAGTTTTTCCTTTTCTTTCTGTCGGCTCTATGCAAATTGGCGTCAAATTCAATTCGTTGCCCTCTCAACGTTTTGCCCAAGTATTCATCAGTTTTTAGCAATACAAAACACCATTTTAATCTCTTTGCTAAAATACAAAATCAAATATTCTTTTGGTTATGAGATTTTTGGAAGAAGAATGAGAATTGGGGGCGATTTATTGAAATGGCCTCTTCTTCTTCATTTTCTCGCTCTAACGATTCTACACCGAGTCGGTTTCAACTCGGTGTCTGCGGCATGCGAATTCAGTCTCACTGATGGCAACACGTTCTACAACTACAGCTTGGCATCTTCGATCCCTAAATTCCCTGCACCCTCAGCGAAGATGGGTACTTCCCTCTCTCTCTCTCTCTCTCTCTCTCTATATATATATATATATATATATATATATATATACGGGGCCGGCCCTGGCCCAAGGCGGTCGCCCTAGGGCCTCATAACATAAGGGGTCTCCAAATTTATTGGCCTATGTATGATGGGCCACCAAAAAAAACCAAGAAAAAAAATTAATTACAACCAAATGTAGCAAATCAAAATTATAGACCATGAATGTTGGGCCACCAAAAAAAAAATTATAACCGCAGCAAAGGCTTCAGGAATGATGGGCTAAAAAAAAAAGGTTTAACCTAATGCAGCAAAAAAAGGGGCCAACAAAAAAAAAAAAAAAAAAAAAAATTAGGGCAAGCATATCACTTGTATAGAGGACCTCACATTTAAAGTCCGCCTAGGGTCTCTTGAAATTTTTTCAATCTTAGGGCCGGCCCTGACACACACACACATTTACGCACATATATGACATGCTTTTTGATTTCGGTATTAATTTGTGATAATATTGTCATTGCAATGAATTGTATATAGACCCTTAGTATCACATTGGAGATGCTTACCTTCATTCATGATTTTAACTCACATAGGTTCTTTTTATATTGTAAAAATACTTGATAACATATAACTACTTAGGATTAGAAATTTTTAATTAATTGATGAAAATTAAAATTCTTACACAATCTTGAATATGTCTTTTTTTTGTATTATACAATACTCTTTCCATCGAAATCATAGTTATATATTATTTCTTTATTTATTTAATATATATATATATATATATATATATATATATATATTAATTCCTTGGATTGAATATGTTGCAATAAGTTGCTTTAATTTGGCAAAAGCATTTAAGTACAAGCTTTACCTTTGATATGAAATTTTCTAGACAGAATCGGTGGGAAACTTATTTACATGACTTAGTTCGAAATTAAAAGCTTAGATAGAAATGGGTTCAACTAATGGAGATATGAGTAGGATACAAGTATTAACAAGTATATGACTACCAATAAAGAATACCGAACAAAAAAAGTACATAGTTTATATTTTGGCATATAAAACACTAACTTCTTATAGGTAATTATGGCTGGACCTAGCCGTCAGAGACGAGTCTCTCAGTCAGAGCATACTCCCATACCCAATCTGATAGTCACATTTGCTAACATTTTCTCAGTCAGAACCTACCCCCATGTCCACACCGTCACCTACATCCTTGCCTACACATTCTGAGTTAGTGTTTTTTTTTATGTATTTTGGTTTTGGTTAGGCACAGTAAAGTAATTTGTTATCATTAATCATTGAAAATGATTTTATTTTTCTTCTGAACAACAAATTTACTTTTTTACTTTTTTAGTATGCATGCATGACATTGGCCAATATAAAATTGAGTGTTTTTTTTTTTTTTTTTTTTTCAGTAATTTGACGGTGCTTATTTAGCTTGTGTTAGGGAAATGGATTTTGATCGGGGTAGGATTCAAAATAATGATAGGAATTCGATAGAGTACATGCAAGGAGTAAAAAACTTTATGGAAGTGGCTAGTAAACATGTAGATTCACTCAACCGGACTCGTTGTCCATGTTACAATTGTAATAACGTCTTGTTGCAACAATTAGCAGTTGTTGAAGACCACCTTCCCTGATGGGTATGCATCAAACATTTCTCGATGTGTTAATATCAAAGATTACAAGCCATCGGGAATGAAAAGTCATGATTGTCATATTCTTTTGCAACATTTACTTCCGGTAGCAATACATGGGTACTTTCGCAAGGATCTATGTACCACACTGACTAAACTTAGTTTTTTTTTCAAAAAATTGTGTTCAAGGACATTGCAGTTGGATGAGTTGGATCAAATGGAAAAGGACATTGTCATTATATTATGCAAACTGGAATGGATATTTCCCCCAGCCTTTTTTGACGGAAAGGTCCACTTAGCAATTCACCTTCCTCGTGAGGCCATCCTTGCTGGACCAGTGTAATATCGGTGGATGTATCCAATAGAAAGGTGATGTGTCATTCAATATTTTAAAATTATTTTTTTTCCTAGTTGATATTTTATAATTATTGTTACAAGCCTTCTATTAATCTTATGTATATATTGTTCACTTAAATATTCTTTTATTGAATTGTAATAGGTTCTTACATTCTTTAAAGACAACGGTTCGAAATAAAGCCAAACCAGAGGGATCAATTGCTGAGGCATATATTGACAAAGAATGTTTGACTTTTTGTTCAATGTATCTCAAAGGGGTTAAGACAGTGTTTAATCGAGATGAACGGAATTACGATGGCAGTCGAGGAAATAAAGGTCAGGACCTTTTTGTTTTTATGCAAGATATACGTCCTTTGGGAGCACCGACCTATTTCAATATGCCATTTAATGATCTTGATAAGGTTCGAATGTATGTGTTGAATAATTGTGATGAAGTTCTGCCTTATTTGAAGTTCTGCCTTATTAGAAGAAGACCTTGAGTTGTACTGGAATAAAAAGAATGAGGCTAGTAATTCTATTAACATTTTTTAATAACTTAACCTACAATAGAATTAAATTAAATAAGTAATGAATAAATGATATGTTGAACTATTTTTTAATAACCTAATTTGGTAACTCAACAATGAGGCTAATAATTCTATCAACATATATATTAGCAATGTGTTAAAATTTGTGCCACTTTGCCTCTGGTAGAGAATTGGGGGAGACCAAAAATACTAGGCATGTCTTAAGAATTCGAGTCTCCTATCTGGACTATTAAGTATTGCAATTGATCTCCCTCATATTTTTTTGTTAGGGGGAGTTTTTTTTTTTTTTTTTCGACAGCACCTTTGTTGCCAAAGCCAACTCTAGAAACCAAAATCCAATAAAGCAAGACATGAACTAAACTCGTAAAACCTGTGCTTATCACCAGGATATTAAGTTTTCTAAAATACTCTTTAAAATTTTATTTCAGTCTTCAAATTCTAATTTCATTTATTCTTATTTGCAAGTTTCACATTGATTGCAATCTAGCTTCCCTTTTGGATTCAGATTTCTTTTGGGATTTTGGTATGTGTATTCAATTAGCATTATGTAATATTGGATTTATATATTAGGATTTTGATATGTGTTGGAATTATCATTTTAGATGATTTGCACATTTTAATATCTAAATTCTTAATGGAATATGTGTTTTATCTTCTATGTTTGATTATCAAATATATTGATTTTGAGTGATATGCTTGGATCTTGGTTTAGATTGTTTAATTTATTGATATTTTAATTTAATTTACAGGTTCCAAATTTCAAATAGGTAAAAACAAAATTATATTATTGTATTAGTGGCACGATATATTATTTTGTCATAATATTTAATTTATAGTGACAACATATTTGTCATAACATGATAGATATATTGTGACAAAAGATATATTTTGTCACAATAAAACAACATTTATAGTGGCAAAATATTGTCGCAACATGATATATATATTGCGACATTTATTTTGTCACAATATTTAACCTTAAATTGACAATGTATTTGTCGCAACATAATATATCTATGGCGACAAATAATTTTTTTACAATAAAATAACTTATAGCGACAACTAATTTTGTCACAACATGTCCCTATATATTGTGACGAAATTTTTGTCACAATAAAACTAGTTATATCGATAATAATTTTGTTGCAACATATCCCTGTATATTGTGACGAAATTTTTGTCACAATAAATCTAGTTATATAGACAATAATTTTGTCGCAACATGTTATATATATTGTGACCAAAACTTTTGTCACAATAAAGTAGCTTATAGTGACAATATTTTTGTCACAACATAGAATGTATATTGTGACAAAAGATTTTGTCATAATAAAATAGCTTATAGCGACAATTTTTGTCACAAAAATATTATACATATAGTGACAAAAATTGCTTTTGTCACAAAATAGTAACAAATCGCGACAAATTTCATAGGTCTTGGAGGTCTTAAGGCGACAATTTTTGAATATTTTACGATAAATATTTTGTCGCAATTTTTATTCATTTTGTGACAAAACATATTTTGTCACAATATATCTCACCCTAGCGACAAATAAACATTTGTCACAAAAAAACATATTGTGACCGGCTTCTAGCGACAAATCGGTGACAAATTTTTTTTCGTCACGATAATCTTATCGCGACAAAATATGTACTTTAGCGACAAATTCGTTTGTCGCCAAAGACCAAATTTGTTGTAGTGTGTAGTAAATCATCTAGTGAACAATTTCTTAATGTTTGGCAATCATTGAACACTGTTAGGGTTGCAAGTGTTCCAATATGTTCCATATTTCGCACTTTAATTATCATCATGAATCTGCACATGAGTAAGGACAAAGAATTATGTATTTGTAATATTATTAAACCATTGAAATAAATACAATAATAAGATTTTAAGATATAATAATACTTTTGAAAGCATTTTGGGTCTGTTGTGTTGCATCAAGGACAATATACTTTATGTTTTTCAACTTTAATTTTCTTGTTGTATTTCTCATATGCGTTGTACCACGGTTCGCGATCATTGACGACATTTTCAATTGTTGCTTTGAAAGTGTAATTTGTTTTCTGCAGGTTGTGCAACAAAATATAACTTCTCAATATATAAATTGAATATAAAAATGTGATACACAATTAAAGAAGATTAAGAAATATACTGAAATTTAATACAGGATATTGTAGATTTTCCTATGATGTCTTGAAGTTTGACTTTTCAACACCATTGAATTTTTTATCTTTTGTACTGGAAGTCAAACTTGTTATATTTTTGTTATACCTCAATAACAATTCCCAAAGCATTTAGCAAGATTAAAAATAAAAATAAAAATAAAATATTAATGCTAATTTTAATTTTTTTTTATTTATTTATATATGTACAAGAGAGAACATATTTATGAAGAGTTTAGAATTAAACGTAAACTAACCCATATTTTATTTTGCATCAATGTACTTGTTCAACTCCTTGAAGTCCACAAAATTAAATTTTATTATTTCTAAGCTTACTACTTCAAGCTCCTCAACTTCAATTGAGGTGTTATTAAGAAAGTTTAATTCAACAACTTCAGTTCCACCGTTATGAATTCAGTCAGTCAAATAGTCAGTTTCTTTAGGGGTTAAAATGCTGAGGGTTATACTACAATGAGCATCATATTCGAAAGGCATAAGCCATTGACATATAAAAGAACTCATAACTCAAAAAATAATAAAACAATGCATGATTTGGGTATGAAACAAATAAAAATTAGTAAAACAATTCTTGATCTGAGACAAATAAAAAATAATAAAACAATGCATGATATGGGGGTGTGACAAATAAAAAATAATAAAATAATGCATAATCTAGGGTTACATGTACCTTAGAAAAAAACATATAAAACTGATGTGATTACAGGAAGGCAAAAAAAAAAGACTTATATATAGAGAGAGTAGAGATTTTTTTAGAAACAACAAAAAGATAAAATATGTAACTTAAATTTTATTAGGTAATAATTTTCAGAGTTTTATAGAAACTCTTTTTTAGAGTTTTCATAATTTGAAATATATTTTGTATTAGATTTTAATAAATATTTTATTTGAATTTTATTAGTTAATAATTTTTTGAAATGTATTTCGTGTTAGAGTTTTAATAAATATTTTATTTGAATTTTATTAGGTAATAATTTTTAGAGTTTCTATAATTTAAAATATATAATTTGAAATGTATTAGTTTTAATAAATATTTTATTTGAATTTTATTAGGTAATAATTTTTAGAGTTTCTATAATTTAAAATATATTTCGTGTTTAATAAATATTTTATTTGAATTTTATTATGTAATAATTTTTAGAGTTTCCATAATTTGAAATATATTTTGTGTAGCAAGGCAAAAAAAGACTTATATATAGGGAGAGTACATATTTTTTTAGAAGTAACAAATAGATAAAATAGGTAATTTGAATTTTATTAGGTAATAATTTTTAGAGTTTTATAGAAACTTTTTTTTTTTTTTTTTTTTTTTTTTTTTTTTTAGATTTTTATAATTTGAAATATATTTCGTGTTAGAGTTTTAATAAATATTTTATTTGAATTTTATTAGGTATTAAGTTTTAGCGTTTCTATATTTGAAATGTATTTCGTGTAGAGTTTTAATAAATATTTTATTTGAATTTTATTAGGTAATAATTTTTATATTTTATTAGGTAATAATTTTTAGACCTTCTATAATTTGAAAAAGTTAGCCAAAAGGCCGAGAAAGTAGTACTACACTTGATCAAAAGATCGAAAAAAATTAGCCAAAAGGCCGACTCAAAAAAATTTAATACTACACTTGATCTTAGCCAAAAGGCCGAGAAAGATTAGCCAAAAAGCTGAAAAATGTGTGATTATTATTTCTTTAAGTCTATAGTTTTATAAGAGATTTCCATGTAATCCTTTTTACTTAATACCAATGTGGGACAAGAAAAATGAATTTAATAGGTAATTTGTAATTTGAATTAAACTCTTTAAATTAATTTTTATTAATTTTATTAGGTAATTTGCAATTTGAATTAAACTCTTTAAATAATTTTTAGGTAATTTTTTGTTTATAAAACTTTTTTTTTATATTAATAAATAAATACTGAAAGATTGAAACTCTTTGCACATTCAAAAGGCTGAGAAAGTAGTACTACAATTGATCTTAGCCTGATTTTAGCCAAAAGGCCGAGAAAGCCCAAAAAGCCGAGAAAGTAATACTACACTTTATCTTAGCCAAAAAATCAAGAAAGGTTAGCCAAAAGGTCGACCCAAAAATAATTTAGTACTACACTTGATCTTAGGCAAAAGGCCGAAAAAGGTGTGGTTATTATTTCTTTAGGTTTATAGTTTTATAAGAGGCTTCCATGTAATTCTTTTTACTTAAAACCAATATGGGACAAGAAAAAAGAATTTTATTAGGTAATTTGTAATTTGAATTAAACTCTTTAAATTAATTTTTATAAATTTTATTAGGTAATTTGAATTAAACTCTTTAAATAATTTTTAGGTAATGTTTTGTTTATAAAAACTTTTTTTTATATTAATAAATAAATACTGAAAGTCAAAAGGCCGAGAAAGTAATAATAAATAAATAAATATATAAATTGTTTGGAAATATGAAAAAGCCCTTACACTTTTATATGGTATAAGTATCCAAAAGAAAAGGGAATAACATATGGCAAGTAATTTGCTCCTTTGTCTTCAACCCAATCCCACTCTTTTTGTTTGTGCAATTTTTTTTTTTTTTTTTTTAAGTATTATTTTTGTCAGTATTTTGTATATATCTATATCTTCTGAGTTAACTCTATGATTAGAATATCAAAATTTTAATTGGTGAAGTATTTCTTATTGTGTATTTCGGTGGCTCCTGTATCCAGATCAGTATATGGGAGGAAAGAAAAGTTTTTGGTTCTCGAGGACAGATTCTTAAGGAAGAGCTTGTGGGCAAGCACCTGTAGAACAGTAATAGAAATGGGAAGCTTTCAGGGTTTAAACTGGTAACTTCATGTCTGTGTGCTGAATGCATGTTTTTTTAA